GGCTTCTCTATTGGCACAGCGCTTAAGCTTGACATCAAAAAGCACTTAGCTGAAACTTAAGTATGAAGACCCGAGTACATGATGATTCTTGCACTGCTCCAATTACAAAGCTTACTACATTTTTAATTTTAATCACCCTTTACTTACCTAAAACAGTCAGTTTTGTTCCCTGGCCGAAATAGGCTTCAGCATTAGCACAGCGCTTAAGCTTGACATAAAAAAGTACTTGGCTGAAACTTAAGTATGAAGACCCAGTACATGATGATTCTTAATGCACTGCTCCAATTACAAGGTTATTACATTTTTCCAATTTTAATCACCTCACTTACCTAAAACAGTCAGTTTTGTTCCTTTTCCAAGTAAGCTTCGTTTGCATTGTCACAGTGCAGAAATACTGAGCATAAAACTCACAAGACTTTCTCTACCAGAATTATCTTCTGCACGTTTTTACTAATACTTCTGTTTACACTAAGACTCTAAAGCAACGTGATGTTTATCAAAATCAATAATAAACTGAAATATTTACCTAAAACCGTCAGTTTGGTTCCTTGGCCAAAGTAAGCAGGCTGAGTGTTGGTCACAGTGTTCTTACTTAAGCTTAAAACTTCTAGTTTTTTAAAACCATTTTCCTTCACTTTCATACCAACAATTCTGCTATGTTAAGTTTTTTTGCAGTTAAGTGAATTTGCTGAAGCTTCGACTTACCTAAAACAGTGAGTTTTGTTCCTTTTCCAAAGTAAGCTTCGTTTCCACTGTCACAGTGCAGAAATACTGAGCATGAAACTCTTGTGTCTTTCTCTACCAGAATTATCCTTGTATAAGTTTTAAGGTTTTACTAGTACTCTGTTAACACTGACTCTAATGCGCAACATGGCATCTTCTAAAATACAGTAATAAACTGAAATTTACCTAAAACGGTCAGTTTGGTTCCTTGGCCAAAGTAAGCAGGTCAGTGTAGGTCACAGTGTTCTCACTTCAGCTCAAAACTTCAGGTTTTTTAAAAGCCTTTCCTTCACTTTCACACCAACCTTTTGACTATTTTAAGATTGTTGCAGTGAACTGAAGGTGCAAAAGCTCTGACTTACCTAAAACAGTGAGTTTTGTTCCTTTTCCAAAGTAAGCTTCGTTTACATTGTCACAGTGCAGAAATACTGAGCATGAAACTCTTGTCTTTCTCCACCATAATTATCTTTGGAATGTTTTTACTAATACTTCTGCATATTTTAAGTCTTTAAAGCAAAGTGACATTCACCAAAATACAGTAATAATCAAATTTTTTTTCCTAAAACCGTCAGTTTGGTTCCTTGGCCAAAGTAAGCAGGCTCATTGTAGGTCACAGTGTTCTCACTTCAGCTCAATATTTCAGCTTTTTCCTAACAACAGTTTTTTCCTTCACTTTCACACCACAATTCATCTATTTTACGTTTGTTGCAGTGAACTGAAGGTGAAAACGCTCCGACTTACCCAAAACAGTGAGTTTTGTTCCCTTTCCAAAGTGAGCTTCAGATCCAGTGTCACATTGAATGTCTCCTCTACCAAAAGTCACAAAATGTTTCATAATCAGCATGTTGAGACGGTCTAATAATCCAGAGGATGAAGAAGGTTTAAACCTGCAGGATGAGCTTCACAATGTCCAAAGTTATTCTGGTTTAGTTAAAGAAGCATTCAAAAGCTCTACATATGAATTGAAAGTCATTTTTAAAACTTTTTTCCAGCAGATTTTCTGTATATAATTTGACTTTTTGATGCCAAAGTGTCCTGCCATCCTATCGCCTTCAGATTTTTGATTTTCCTGCTCTTTCAAGTGTCCCAGGTAGCATGTAGCAGTTTACACAATGTGTTTTAATGGGAGGAGGTTTTTGTACGGCGGCTCTATAGGATTGTATCACCGTGGCCCCCTGTCCCCCGATGAAAAAGCGTCACACAAAAACCTGAACACTCTTTCGTTCACCCGTCCTCCTTCCCCCCACCCAGCCTCTCCATATCTCAGCCTCCATCTCTCTCTGTCTGTGAGAGCAGCTGCACAGGTCGCGCTGACTGACTCGTTTTAGGGCTCCAACCTGACTGCTGCTATTTCTGTGACAGCTAAGAAAAGAAGCAAGAACAGAGGGGAGGAAAAGGAGAAGCTGGTCTTTGTTTGTGTGTTTTGCTCCTGAGAGGAAGTGACATCACTGCTGGTCACACCTCTTTATCCACCCAGTTGTCAGTGAACTGAGGAGACACATTACTGAGTTCATGTTCCCTGGCAGATGTGACTGATGTGCAGGTGATCCTTAAATTGTTAAATTTTTATTTGAAGTTAAAAAGTCTTTAAGAAAATGGTGTAACAGATCCTTCACTCCTTTCTTTATTTTAAATAATGTCTTAAAAGCAATTTATTCCTTCTCAACAAATTATCACAATGAATTTTATTATCACATCATAACTGGTGTATATTTAAGTTATGATGCAAAAAATGTTCCTTTCATAACTGATAGAGAAGAGCATGTGTCATTTTTATATATAAGTTTCACAACATTTTGACAAGTTATGACAGGATCTCTCAGGCTCAACATTATCAGAGGATAAGAACACTGTAGGCATGATGTTTTTTCAAAGATACTTGTAGTAGATTCTTTATTCTAAACCCCCTTAACTCTCTCTTACAGAAATATTTCTTTCTTTCACCGTTTTTTGAAACTTTTCACACAAAAAAAAATCCAGTCAGGGACAAGCTGAGCATATTATCCATGGTGAAGCAATCTTTTTCAAATGTTTTAGGCAAAAGGTAGCCCCACAGTGTAGAAGTAGTAAAAATAGTAAATTTTCCTTAAGCAAAAGTATTAGTATTCCCATCAAATATACATACATTTACTCTGTATGCAGAACAGCCCATTTCAGAATCAGAAATATATGATCTCATTGGATCATAACAACTGCTACATCAATATGTAAACATCACTTTAATGTTGCAGCTGGCAAAGGTGGGGCTAATCTTAACTACTTTACAAACTCAATAAAACATCACAATTTATTTATTGATTATTTTGTAATAATAAAGAGAATCTGCACACGAAATAAAGCTTCCAAATAAATAGAGCGAAGTAAAAAGTACAATATCACCTTCTGAAATGTGGTGGAGTAAAGGAATAAATCCATTATTTTCATTTACTTTATGTAAATGAAAATACTCACCTCAAATTTTTACTTACATGAATGTACTTGGGTACACTCCAGCACTGCAAATGAGTGACATTATTATACATTCAATGTATATTCTATGCTTATTCTCGGATGTTCTATGTTGCTATAAAATAAACAAATTAAATTGATCATACTGAATTAATTTTAAAGAACCATAGGGTAGTACTGATTGTTGGTTACACTCTACATTTCTTAAAATCAGAATCAGAATCAGAAATACTTTTTTTACTATTGATACCTGAGGGGAAATTCTTTGTCACAACTGCACACTTGTCAAAGGAATAAGGAATAGAAATAGTAAAAAAACAACAAAAAAAACAGTAGATAGATAAATAGTATAAATATAAGAATATAAATTAGAGAAATGTTTTAACCAAATGATTTGTAGTACAACCACTGTGCTCCTCCTTAAAATTAAACCTTTTATGTTTTTTTAAATCTATGTAATTATGAGACATAAGAACTTCTATAATGTTATGTCACAGTGGTTCTGCACAGGTCACTTATATGTCATGCAACAATTACTTTTTTAACACAACTAATTATTTAGCTAGCTTTTTTTTTCAATTTAAGTGTAATCCCATATGATCCCTGTAGAGGTCAGTGTATGATAACCTGTTAAATTGACATGCGTTTATCTTGTGAGGATGGACATTATAGAAATAAAATAGCAGAGACTAAAGCACTAAATGACACAGATTAGAGAAACTGTACAGGACAATAATACTGAATGTGACAAGTAATCTTTACCATGTTAACACCTGCTCACTTATCTGAACTGATCAGCTGTGTGGTATTGTAGCAGAAACATCATGACTTGTAGAGAAGCAGTTCTTGTACCTTAAATGAATTAACTGTTAATCTTATTGTTTTATTTAACAACTTTTTAAATATATTTTCATGTATCATTAAGGTAATATGTTGTCATGTCAATAATATCCAGCTCAGAGCACCTCAGAGTTCAACACCATAAGCCTCCTCATTCATTCCTGATCCCTTTCATCTCCTCACTGATTGTTTTTGGGGTTGTTGTTAAGCTGCTGAGGCTTTCTGTCACATTGTGCTATACTAGAAGCACAGTAATACACAGCTGAGTCTGCCACTTCAGCACGGTGTATCTGCAGAGAGGAACTGAGCACTGCAGGCCGGGACATGGTGTACTTGGATGTGTTGAAAGGAGCTTCAGTGTTGGCCGAATCCTTATTAAGAGAATATGTTAATAGCTGCATTTTCCCACTGCTGCTTTGTCTGTACCAGTACATGTAGTAATATTGATCATCATCTTGTCTACACTGCAAAGTTACATCTGGGTCTCCTTCACGACTGAATACAAATGGAAGCTGGAGAACTTTAACACCAGCGGTGGAATCTGTAAGGTAAGAATGAAGACAACAAGTAAATAACAACTTCACAACATCTTTTTTTTTTAAAACAACAAAAACATTTGATTTCTTTTCAACTGAATTTAAAAGTTCTTACTGATGAAGATTAGAATTGCAACCAAGAGTGGCCTCATTTCACACTGATCATACAGGTTAGTGTCAATAAAAATCATCTACATTCACAATCACAGCTCTCTCTTCAGCTCGAACATCTGCTGGTGGATGTTACTGTTCTGCTACAGCCAAAACTTCTGAAATAAGACTACAGTCTACAGCTACAATCTCCTAGTGGCCGCTGAACAGCAACTGCAGGTTCTTGTTCAAGCATGAGCTTGTGACTGCAGAATTTAGAGGAGGGTTTATAGTAATTGTTGCACCTACAACAAATCTACTGCAACACTTGCAAATGTCAGACTTTGAACTGCTGAATCAGACTTAGAAATCAGCAATTAAAATTGTACAATAAAATGAGTTTACTGTGTTGTACTTTCTGCAAGATAATTAAAATGTATATCTCACCGTTCTAGCCACCCTAGCAGAATATCTGCTATTGAATGGATGGAAATGTTGTACATGATTTACAAATGATGTACCTTAAAAAGTAGTGGTAGTAGTTTCCCTCTTATGTGACAATCAGGTTGACATTCGTGGTTTCAGTGAAACATCTCAACAACTACTTGATGGATTACAATGAAGTTTTCTCCAGATATTCATGTCCCCACTGGATGCATTGCACAAATGTTGGTAATTCCCCGACTTTTATCTAGCACCATTATAAGGTCAAATTTTTATTTTGTCCTATACTTTGGTTCAGGATAGCAACAATTTCTTTCATTGGCAACTTATTTGTCAATAATTTTATCAATTAATCATTTAGTCTATGAAATGGAATAAAACAGTCCAAGCTGAAGTCATAACCAGCAAACATTTAGCATTAATCAGTTATCATAATAGTTGCTCTCTTCTGCTTTTATCTATGACATTTCAGGAGAAAATGCGTCTCTGTCTCCACTTCACCTGTTGCACAGTGCTCACAGACTCTATATTCTCTTGGTAACCAGGCCTTTTTATGTCTCCCTTTTTCATTTGCAAGGGTAACTGAGTCCGTACTTGGTAAAAAGCTGCCTCTGCTTGAGAGCTCTGACAGTACAGAGGCATCCAGCCTTTTAATCTCTGTTTAGGACCAGCTAGGTATAGTTCATTGTGTGATCTAGGGTGGTGTTACCTATGGTGCTTTCATAGCATTTTGTTTTTCATTTTGTTCATTTGCAATTTTTTGGATGTATACTGACAGGGCCCACATATGGCAGGATTGTTCCAAGAGGTCAAACTTGTGCTGTAGTCCTTCTTTTGTGGGGGACAGCAGCACCAGGTCATCTGCATGAAACAGAGACTTGGCTACTCCACTTTGGAGTGGGAATCCTGGCATTGTACATTGGTCCAACTGCAATGCTAATTGGTTTATGGAGATGTTAAACAGTGTGGGACTCAAATTACAGCCTTACGCTTCTCCTCTGGATGTTTTTTACATCAGTGTGTCTGTCACCAATTTTAATGCTGCACTTGTTTTCCGTGTATATTGATTTGATCATGTTGTACACCTTTTCATTGTGCCAAATTGAATCAAATGCCAAATAACAGGCAAATATATTTTTCCATTTTTTGTTTGATGCACATGTTTTTCTCTGAGGGTGTGAAGGGTAAAAATTTGGTCTGTGGCTCAGAGGCCACAACAAATAGAGGAAACCATACTTAAGGGACTACCGGAAAAGGATGTTTATTAACAAAAGTAGTTAAATTGAACAAATATAACAAGTCATTTTAAAGCTTAACAAATGTGGCTGGCAAAACATAGTGTCAGATTAACTAAATGAATGAAAGCACAACAAAGCAACAAGAGGTGGTGCTGGGGACCAGGAAAAAGCAAGCAGTCAAGGCCCGCAACAATCAGGAAGGGGCGGGCTTTATGCAATCTATCAATTCAGCGTCGTCAAGGTAACGTGATAAAGTGGCAAAGTGCTGTCCCGTTCCTGTTAACAGCATTTTGAGCCCTTGCAGCCTCTTGCACTCAATCACTTTCCAAGTGACGTCAGTAAAGTCTGTGAGGGTTCAGGGCTTAGGGGGGACATTGGGATTGGGCCACACACACAAACAACCTGGCAGAGGCCCTGGGGCCATCACATCTGTAATGTGATGATTTGGAAAGAAGACAATTTAGTTTTTACTTAAGATACTGTGTTAATTTAGGATGTTTAATATTCTGTTGTTTAAAATGCTACAGAATCCTCAGATTTCAGCTCACTTGAATCCCTCTGTAGTTGTTGGGGTCAGATTTATCTCCACTGTTATGGGAGATATAGGATATATGACTCTCTCTTTCTCTGGCGACCTGTCCAGGGTGTACCCCGCCTTTCGCCCGATACCAGCTGGGATTGGCTCCAGTCCCCCGTGACCCTGTACGCAGGATAAGCGGTCGACGATGGATGGATGGATGGATGGACTCTCTCTTTCTCTCTCTCTCCCTCTCTCTCTCCCTCCCTCTCTCTCTTCCTCTATCTATCCCTCCCAGTTGGCAGCTGTGGGCATTACCTATGTTTCTCTTGGTTTGGAGTCTTCCCTCACCTGCCTGAGATCTGCAGTCTACACACCTGGCCTGACCGTGATCAAGCCAATCAGCTCCCCTTCATAAATCCAGGCCTCACCTCCAGTCCCCACCAGAGTGTTGAGTCATACACAGTAGGGGTGCGATTAATCAACAAAAATTGATGATGAAATTAGTTGCCAATGACTTTAATTATCAATTAGATCATGATGTCATTGAGCTGAAGCGACACCGTCCGTCAAGTCCAGTTAAAGGTCCAGTGTGTAATATTTAGGAGGATCAGCTCCACTCCAACACTGCTCTGGACTTTCCCCCCAACTCAACGCTTTCCTAATCTGATATTTATTAATAAACTGCTTAAAATAGATTTGTAATAACTATCATTTAATTTGTTGTCTGATACTGTTTTCACAGTTGCTTCCAATAAAAACTTTAAGGCAATCTGCTGTCTTCAATCTTTATTGGAAGTGTGTTTAGCTCGATGCATAGCTGTGCAGCTACATGCACCATGAGGGCAGAAGAGAGGGACATTTAGATTGATTGATTGATTGATTGATTGATTGATTGATTGATTGATTGATTGATTGATTGATTGATTGATTTGGCTATACAAATAGACTTGACAGTCTCAGCTACTTACTGCATGGTCCAATCTCTCTGCTCATGGTCTTTGCCCACATTCATATTTATCAGCTGGCCAGATACCACGTCCTAAAAAAGGCTTGACAGCACAATCTTTTTACCTGCTTATCATTTGCGCATGAATACATCACAATGAGCATTAACTAACTATCTGATGTTAAAAATGAAAGCCCAACACTGGCATGGTATGTCAGTGTTATCACTACTAAGTTATGTTAATATAAATCGTGAAGCTTTGACTATCATCAAAACATCTTATCACTGTTCCGCTTCCACTGTGATTATAATCAAACCACAACAGGAACAAGCCACAGCTCCTTCCTGCCTGGGTGCCATCTGTGACAGACATGTTATTTGTGTGACTGTCTGGTCTGTGTGCATCACTGTGCCTGGCAGCACAGTAGTAGGTGCTGCTGTCATTCAGTTGCAGCTCTGTAATCTGAAGAAAGAAGTTGTCTTCGGATACATCAATCGACGACTTAAAGTGCCCCGCAGTTTTGTCGTACTCTGTAAGGAGGAACTCCATTGGCGCGCCGTAGTGGTTTTGTCGGTACCAGAGCATAGTGTAGCTGCTCATGCTGAAGCCTGCACCTATGCTACACTGAATGTCCACTTTGACTCCTGGGTGAGCAATTAAATCTCCAGTCTGAAGAATCATAACAGTGAGACCTGCAGTAAATGAAAGATAATGTTTGATTGTGAACAGTGAGCTCACTCAGATGTACATTTGATGGTAACCTGATCCTTCAAGTGGTGAGCGTATGAGTTTATACAGAAAAACCCACCTGAGTATAAAAGAAGGGACAGATAAAAGACTATAACAAGCATGTTAGTGATAAGCCTTCTTCCAGTCGAGTGATGCAAACATCACTCTGTTGGGCACAAAGGAACACCAGGTCACATGCTCCTATGATCACATGATTATAGGGGAAGTGCAGCAATAACTCTCACTCACTGATTTTCATCTGACACGTACAGGTGCATGGAAGCTCATCTTTAGTGAGACTCAATTGATCTGATATTTTTAAATTGAGTTTGCCAGTATTTGGTGGTGTTATTCAGTGACATTTAACTGCATGAATATAATACTGCAAATGTCAAACAGTTAGTGATTACCCCAATTTAATATTCTGTCAACACATCTGGAACAGCTTTTACACCATCATGAGAAAAAAAGGTTCAATATTGAAAGTGAAACTTTGTAAGTATTTTAGGTTGGGTGACGAAACAGTATATAATTAATCAAAGGTCCCATTTATTAGTAATACAATTCATATATCATACGATACATTAACAGCATAATACTTTCAGTTCTCAAATAACTAAACCCCTGAGTAACAGCTGTTATTAGTTTCCATGTCGGAGCAGGTTTTTTAGTGAAGTAGTGGCATTAAACCACATCACTGTGTGCTGGCAGCGCAGAAATACACAGCTGAGTCTGACAGATTCACCGCGCTAATGATCAGATATCCACTCCCTGTGTCTTCTCCTTTTATTTGGAATCTGGAGCTTTTAAACTGGTCCTCGTAGCTTGGGTCACCTACACCGACTGTGTACCCAATGAGGCTCATAGACCGGCTGCTCTGTTTGTGTTGGTACCACAGCATAACTGGAAGACTGCTGTCATCATGACTGCAGGTAATCCTGAGTTTCTCAGTCCCTTCATTCACAACTTGAGAAGAGGACTGTTTAAAGGTAACACTCTCCACTTTGCCTGTGAAGAAAGTCAGTTCATGTCATTGTGGAGGTAAAGTTTTGAATTCAAGCAATGCATTTTTTTGCAATCTTAGAAAAAATACCTAAATTGTATGATAAACACACAGTGGCACAGATGTTACAGAGTAAACATTGAGTCAGGCTTACTTGAAAGCACAAGCAGTAAAAATCCAAATGCGTGTAAAACTGGATGCATCCTGGAAAGTAAAATTAAATCAATAACAAAAATACATTGGTGCTCCAGTCTGACAAACGTTTTACACATTGAACGAGAGATTATGAACTTCCCTTCTCTATACATCACACCTCTTCTCCCCACCTACCTCCTCTGCTGGCAGCTGATCTTTTCCTTAAAAAAATCTGCATGCTTCTTCTTCTTTGCTGCACTTTTATTTCTATTCACCAATGAACAATACTGACATTTTGTGATGATGGATTTCTTGGTGTAGTGGTTTTAAGCCATAAAGTCTTCAGAAGTGGCTGACTGTTAAACTGTTAATTGAGAATTTTAAGTGTTTGTGTACATTACCTCCAGCATACAACCATCCATCCATCCATCCTCAACAGCTTATCCTGCGTACAGGGTCGCGGCCAGCATACAACCTCTTTTTTAATTTCTCATTTAGATTTTTAAGATTTAGAGTTTTATGTTCATTTTTAGCCAGTTTAGTAAATAAGGTTCTTTCAAAAGTTTAAGCAGACAACTCCAATGCAGTGAAGAAACACAGCAATGAAATGCAGCTGAACAGCTATTGCTTTTTTCTTATCTTACAAGATGTTACATTTTTAGTGAATGAAATTTTGACATTATTAGTTACACCATATTACAGTTCTTATGGTGACACAATTGTCTGTTAGTGCACTTTCAACAAAACATGATTAGCTTTTGGTACATTGTTATATATATGATATAAAAACATTTGCATTTTATTTACTGCAAAAATGCAAGCTACATGTTCAGTTACTTCATCATATAATTAAGGTACCATTTATTAGTAATACTATAAATAAATCATGCCCCAATTAACAGCATAATACTTTCAGTTCTCAAATAACTAAACCCCTGAGTAACAGCTGTTATTAGTTTCCATGTCGGAGCAGGTTTTTAGTGAAGCAGTGACATTAAACCACATCACTGTGTGCTGGCAGCGCAGAAATACACAGCTGAGTCTGACAGATTCACCGCGCTAATGATCAGATATCCACTCCCTGTGTCTTCTCCTTTTATTTGGAATCTGGAGCCTTTAAACTGGTCCTCGTAGCTTGGTTCACCTGTGAGGACTGTGTATCCAATGAGGCTCATAGACCGGCTGCTCTGTTTGTGTTGGTACCACAGCATAGTTTGGAGACTGCTGTCATCATGACTGCAGGTAATCCTGAGTTTCTCAGTCCCTTCATTCACAACTTGAGAAGAGGACTGTTTAAAGGTAACACTCTCCACTTTGCCTGTGAAGAAAGTCAGTTCATGTCATCGTTGAGGTAAAGTTTTAAATTCAAGCAATGCGTTTTTTTGGAAAAAATACCAAAGTTGTACGAAAAACACAATGTGGCACAGACGTTATAGAGTAAAGTCAGATAACATTGAGTCAGGCTTACTTGAAAGCACAAGCAGTAAAAATCCAAATGTGTGTAAAACTGGAGGCATCCTGGAAAGTAAACTTAAATCAATAACAAAAATACATGTACAATTGTTTCCACATCAAATTTACAATTACAGCATACTGAAATCTGAGGCATCAGAAGTGGAGCATTTACTTGGTGCTCCAGTCTGACAAATTCTTTACAGATTGAATGATAGATTGCTTTCTTCCCTTCTCTATATAGTCTATCACACCTCCTCTCCCCACCTTCTTGCTGTGCTGGCAGCTGATCTTGTGAAAAAAAATTTTTGCTGCATTTTTATTTCTGTTCACCAATGAACAGTACTGATATTTTGTCATGATGGAATTTCTGGGTGTAGTGGTTTTAAGTCATCAGAAGTGGCTGACAGTTAAACTGCTATGTTCAGACTGCAGGCCAATGTGACCCAAATCCGATTTTTTTGCTCATATGTGACTCAGATGTGATCCTTTTATAACAGAGTGAACAGGCCAAGTCACATGGAATCTGATCTTTTCCAGTTCGTAATTGGGCCACTTCCATACGATACAGATCGGATCTTTTTTAATGCGACCTGAGTCTGGACACTCAGCGACTTTGATGTCACTCTAGAGCAGCTGTTGTTCTGCTGCAGACAGAGCCGCTGTGAATGAAAAAGCTCCACAAAAAGCCATTATTAAACATGTGGTTCTCTTCCTCCTCTACCTCGCTATCATCTGCTCACAAATTCCCTTGCTTACACCTGAAATCCACCGGACCGTGAGCTCTCTTCTGAGTTATGTGCATGCCATTTCTCCAAGCTGACACAGTGGGGAGAGAGAGGGAGGGAGCTGTGGGGCAGTTGTGTTGTACAGCGCCAGAAACCGTAAAGAAAAGAACAGAAAGTTGAAGAAAAGAACAACTGTCATAATTTGGGATAAATGTGACCCGTGAGAGGACAAAAAAAATGGGAGTGTCCCGTGAGCTAACCTGAGCTAACCTAACCTCTGTTGCTCCTTGTTTACTTCTGTAGCCTGGAACAGCTGCTACTGCTTGTGACGTTGTGTTGTTCCTCTGCACATGCGGGTCACATTCAGGCCGCGGACAGTTCACACTGGAGTCTAATATCGGCCACTAATGTGAACTATCAAACAAACAAAATCGGATCTGGGAAAAAATTGGAATTGAGCATTAAGGCCTGCAGTTTTGTTTTGTCAATTTAAAGCCAGTTTTGTAATTAAAGTTGTTTGAAAAGTACAAGCAGACAACTCCAATGCAGTGAGAAAAGGTTGCAAGGTTGCAAAAAAAAAAAAAAAGGCAACTGAACACCTATTGTTGCCATTTAACAGAATTGTACAGAAAAGAAAGAAATCACAATTAATCCCGATTCAAGCACTATAACTAGGGGCAATTTGTTGAGAAACATATGACAACTGACAGCTTACATACAAAAATCTTAATACCAATTTCTCCTTGATGATGACTGCAGTTACTTTCATGGAATAATGTGTATTATGTATAGGCTATTTCTCCTCAAAAAAAAAAAAAAAAATCAGGTCTTAGAATAGAATATAATAGAATAATGTTAGTCCAAGTCTCAATTGGCTGTTTTGCCTTTGGTTTGATTTTCTCAGTACCCCTTATGATTATTTTGAGTTGTTTTATTGTTGATTGGTCAAAACTGAATTAGGCGGTCTTTTTAAACTGACTCCGCCCACTTATTACAGTGTTTGAACATTAATACAAGCCACCCTCTCACTGTGACAAATAAGTTAAAAAATTTACTAAATTACTGTAGGTTAAATGCGAGTTTACTGCCAATATTTAACAATGATTCTCTACACTGCTGATTTGTAGTTTCTTTGTCACATCAACTGCTGTTCCTCACATCACCGGTTGGCCACAAATGCGCACTTGAAGTCTGAACCTGAGTTTTCTTGTCATGCTTTTGACTCCTTTTGAAACTCCTGAAAAGATTTACTCTCCTCGGAATAACAGCTTCGCCTCACCAAGGTAAGAATTTGATTTTGCTAACATGTATTTTGTGAGTGAATGTTTTGCCTTTTAAGTCGAGTTTGTGTCCTTGGCTTAGCTGAGGTTATGACCATAAACCGTCAATTGGAGCTAACGGCAACAGTTGTGAAGCTAACAGTGCGAAAGCTAACAGTTGTGAAGCTAACAGTGCGATAGCTAACTGTCCAAGTTACCTGCCTTTTTTCTACTCATATCTTGTTTGACATCTTGGCGATGGCTGCAACTTTTTGCTAACAGAGGTAAAGGTAACTAGCGATAGATGGCAGATTTTCTGTCTACGGTTGTGATTTGTAAGTTTGGATCTGTTGTTTCAACGGTCGTCCACAGTTATGCGCTTGAAGTGCTTTTGGTTTCTTGGGGCTCTTAATAAAAGTTTGCTCTTCTTCGAGACGCCAGGAATTAAAGTTTCAGCGTCACCTCACCAAGGTAAACATTTGCTGCTTGTGCTATGTGTATTAGGAGTTGATTTTGTTGGTTTTGTTCAGTGTCTGCGGACTTGGTTAAGCTAAAGGTTGGC